CCCCTCTCCACAGAGTTATTCTGTTAAAGTCCAAATTAAGTGGTAGCCCATATAAGCCCTCCTCACGTGCTTTTCATTCTTGGTGCTCTTGATCATTTGTAATTACCTATTTGTAGGTAATCACTGCCTGTGCCCCATGGGACCATCCGTCCCAGGAAGGCAGGGAAGGAGCATGTTTTCACTGTTGTACCCTCAAGCCTGAAAGAGTGTCCAGCACACTGTAGCTGCATAAAAATGAACATGAATGAGTAAACCAGCCCAGAATCATGCATCCCTGAGCAATGAGGAGCCACCTCGGGTTAAGCTAGGAGGACCTGCAGGGAGGCTGACCTGGAGGGGGAGATGCAGTGGCCTAGAAGGAGGTGATGGCAGCTGCAGGAGGCAGGGAGAATGAGGAGAGGGGACAGATACAGAAGTGTGACGTGTGGGGAAAAATAGGTTTCAGATGTGAGTAAAGGAAGCCTCCCCCGACCTCCTGGGCAGTTGCTGCGCCAGCTGGCAGAGCTCACGTAGGCCCTGACCCTACCACCTACCACCTGCCAACCATGTGGACAACAAGTGAGTTTTCTCACAGGTGCTGCCCTTCACTCCCTTCCCACAGCAAACAGCTGGCAGAGCCTTGGGCCTTCTCAGCGCCCCAGAGAGGAGAGGGAAATGGAGCTGGCGTGGCTGCTATGGACAGGTAGGTGGATGTGAATGAGCACCCACGGGTGGCAGCCTGGAGCCCAGCTGGTCTGTCGTGGGTCACCCTGTGGATTAGACCAGGCAGGCTCTGGACTTCCAGGGAGCACCCTCTGTGCCTCCCTTGGCTTCTCTCAACCCTTGACAACCAGTAGCTATATAACAGGGTTACTCAGCCTTCTTTGGGGTCAGCTTGGTACAGGTTCAATGTGCCTAGATCAGCCTAGATTCCATCCATTTGACAGATCAACAAACTGAGACCTGGCAGAGGAGAGACCACAGTAGGAAGTGGAGAGCTGAGATCAAGGCCCTACTCTTCCATTCACCCCTGGTTTTCTGTTGTCTCAGCTGTAAAACAGGAATTCAACAAGACACTCTATTTCTTGCGTGTTTTATAGAACTAAGAGCTTGAATTTGATCATTCCCATTTATCTGAGGATACATTTGATCCACCACTATGTAATTCCCTTCCCATACTCAGCTGTCTCCTATGGCCCTCAATACCCGACCTTGAGACCGTGTTTCCTAGATGTGTTTGTTCAGCTTATTTCTCATCACCTTGGCATTGTTCGTTACCTCTTAGGTTACCACTTATTCTCTTTAAAACCATGTTTAAAAGATGTACTCCTTCAGGATGTCTTTTCATTGAACAGAAAGGCATCCTCTCTCCACATTGCAGTTTTCAAAATTTCTTGTAGGCTCCAAGATTTGAAAATGACTTTGAAAGTAGATCACCTAAGTCAACCCTCACCTGACTTCTGCCTACTTCAACTTGAGTTGCAGTATCATTGAAGTGAGGCAGGGAACTCACTCTCCCCTAATAAAACCCTATTTTATTTTCCATCTAATGTACCCTTTGGAAAATTTCCCTTATATTGAGCAAATCTATCCTGGAAGGTAAAGATGGTCATGACCTGCTTTTGCTTTTAAAACAGAACCTAACGATCTGCAAACAAGAATTACTTCTTGCCTGCAGGAACTATAACCTTCCCCTTCTTTCTAGCTCTGCCTTCTGGGGTGGAGGTTGACCAGATGAAACACCACTGGCCAGTCAGGTGAAAACGTTTCCCTGGATTCCTGGACTAACCTGTGGCTGCAGCCAGGTGAGCATGGATGATAGGACCTACCAGACTATCCAAAAGCTCCTTAGCTAAACCTCATCAAAGGTGACAAATTACAGAATGGATTAGCTGCTATATGGGTGGCAAAAGCCAAAAATCAAAGAACTACACAATCCAAAACCCTCTCCTCATAAAAATAAAAAATACAGTCAGAAAAGGACAGTGCCCAAGGCTTAGCTAATCACCTAAGATAGACCATAGGCCACAACTGAAATCATTCTCTCTCAGGGAGAGTCCAATGGCCAGATGCACTTGTCAGAGCCTAGTGAGTCAATAATCCAATCTCTTCCTCCTTCCACCCTCTGATCTTCTGCTGGTACCTTCCATTGGCTGAGCCCAACCAGAAGGCCAAGGGCAAGTAGCCCAGGGAGGCAGTCCACAGAAGAAGTCATAGGGCACAGGGCAGAAGGAGAGGGCAGGAGACTGAATCTGGAGAGGTAGATGAGGTATCCAGCTCACCAACCTCATGAGTCATTAACCTTTGATTCCTCATTCTTACATACTTATTAGTATGAATCATCTCCTGTTGCTAGGTGCGAGACTCTGGCAACACAGCAATGGCCACACAGACCTCAACCCTCTATCAAGGCAAGATTTAAACAAATAATCATGGAAATATAATTATCAATTGGGATATTTTCTATGAAAGGAAAGATAAGGAATGTGGTGAGAGATGTTAATGAAGATCTAGTTTCAATTCAAGGGCTTAAAAAGGCTTCTTTGTAAGCTAAGCTCTGAGGGATGACTTTGAGTTAGACAGGGAAGGGGGGAAAAATGCAAAGACCATGAAATGGGCACTTTCCAGAGAATACCTGAAGCTTAGTGAGTGAGGGAGAGACACTGGTGAGGCCAGGGAAGGAAGGAAGGTCTGGATGAAATTGTACCCTAAAGGCTGTGGTAAGGAGTTGGGGTGTTTTCCCAAGAGCCGTAGGCAACTACTGGTCCCAGGAGCCTAGCACTTCATTCAGCCTACCATGTTTCCCCCAAAATAAGACACTGTCTTATATTTATTTTTTCTCAAGAAGACACACTAGGGCTTATTTTCAGGAGATGTCTTATTTTTATTAAGTATAATACAACAATCTACATTTATTCAAATATAGTTAAGTCATCTTCTAGAATCTGACAGGGAGAGCCGACCCTTTTGGTGGGGCTGGCACTAGTAATGAGTGAACTCCTTTCCCTTAGCTGTTCGCACATGCGCAATAGGATGCCTGCAACTGCAGTTACCACGCCCTCACCCTGGCAAGTGCAAACAGCTTGCAGAAAGGAGCTGTGGCAGATAAAAGGTATTCCAGGCTTCCTTACCACTCCGTGCTGAAACGCATGGCATGGCTATGCAGATACGCTGCATAGCCATGACCATCACTAGATCTTATTGTCGAGGTAGGGCTTATATTTAACAAATGCATAGAAATCCTTCTAGGGCTTATTTTTTGGGTAGGTCTTATTTTCGGGGAAACACAGTAGTACTGTTATTCCAGGATCCTCACTGGGGTCCCTTATAAGCCTGAGTGTCAAGCCTCAGCTACTGAATACCTTCATGGGCAGTAGGGGCAACATCAGTCTCTGGATTTACTGAGGGATAGGTGACTCCACTCAGGATGCATCATCACTTTATTAGTTCCATAGACCTTCACTTTGCTTCAGCCCATTTTAGATAGAGAAGTTCATTCCTCGGCTTCCCTCATCTCCACACTGTTCACCTCCAGCCCCACAAGTCTCAGAAGGGATTTTCACCACCAAAATGCTATTTTTCTACACTTGAAACCTGGAGGAAATTACTGGCAACCTCAGTGCTTCTGGGATTGATCAAAAGCAGGAAGTGGAAAGCAGAGCTCCCATCCGACTGCTGGTGGGAGTTCACATGGGGGCAACCACTTTGAAAAACTCTTTGGCAACCTCTCCCAAAGCTATGCATGCACACGCCCAGGACCCACAATGCTCCTGGGCATAAATCCAAGAGAAACGTGTGCATGTGTCTACCAAAGGCTGGTACTAGACTGCAAGGTTTCTAGCAATGGCGTTTGTAATAGCCCCACACTGGAAAGAACTCACATGTCCGCCCACAGAAGAATGGATTAACAAGCTGTGATATCCTCTCACGGAATTATCTCAATACTATACAGCAATAGGAAAAAAGAACCTGCTGCTCATATATGGAAGAACATGGATGAGTCTCAAAAACATCTTTTGTGTAAAAAAGCAAGACGCTAAAGAGCACATTCTGTATCGTTCCCTTTATGTGAAATTCTAGAACAGATAAAAGTAATCTATGGCGATAGAAACCAGAGTGTTGTTATGAGAACAAGGGGTGGAAAGGTCTGTCTGCTGAAAATAGTCTACATCTTGATCTGGGGCATATGCATAGGAATAGATATTTGTCAAAATTCATTAAATTATATTTGACTTTTAAGTTTACCATCTATGCACTTCGGTGTATCTGAATTATACTCCGACTTAAAATATGGAGAAAAGTCACCTGGCTACTCACCCAGATTCTCTGCTGGCAATGAAGAAAAGAAAACCTCCAATTCTTATCTCTGGGTCAAAGTACAGTTGGTGTAGCTCAAAAATACTTCTAAAACAAACTATTTTATTTCTAAACAAAGTGGTATTCGAACTGCATTCATTTTATTCCATTCAACCTTCTCCATCAGTAAGGTTGCTTTCAGTTTTATCTGCTGTCTAGGTTCACTGGGTGGGGACGGGGCTGCTCTCCACCAATCCCACTCCCAAAGTAAATAAGTCTCATGTATGTCTCTTCATAAACACCCACTTCCATGGAGCGACAAGTCTTTAGGCTCCCTGTCCCTGCAGAGTTTGTCAAGATCAACAGGTAATGTGATGGGGTTGGGGTTCATGTGTCTGAAGGGATTTGGACCCTGAGGTGCTATGCATGGCTTGGTGTCTGCCAGTTAGCACCTTGAGAACACAATCTTTTGGCAACAGAACCTGTAAATTCAGATTAACAGGGCCTTTTCCCTTCCTCAAAGTCAGTTTTCCTTTCCTCACATCTTACTTTATCAAGAGTCCCGCCCGCCAGGGTCGAGCTGGCTTTATGTGTTTATGATAACTTAGAGTCCAAGCACCCATATGCAGCTCCCTATCTGTCCTGCCCTGGCCTCTCCTCTTAGGAGTCCAAAGGATAAAGCCAGGTTATAAAAGGCCTCAGCCAACCTGCTGGGCCTGGAGTGGAAGCTCTGGTGTAGCGCAGTAAGTCACAGCCAGGCTCGGGCAGGGGAACTGGCAGGGCTGGGAAGGCCTGGCTGCTAGAGGGGTGTGCCCGGACGGGGAAAAACCACAGCAACAGAAGTCCCTGAGCCCTGAGCTCAAGTGTGCCTCAGCTTCAAGGTCCCCACCTCAGGGGACAGCCCCATGGGGCCCAGGCCACTGGGTGTCTCTTCCACTCGCTCTCCCATGTGTGTCCCAGGCCTCCCGCCCTGGGTGGGTCCTGCCACCACCAGCCTCACATGGCAAACATGGGTAGCTGGGTGTGTCTGTGTTTGTGCCCGTGCAGATGCTGCTGTCTTGGACAATCAGCTTTCTCCTGCTGGCCACGGTCAGAGGTGAGTATGCTGCCACCACCCCTTGGGGGAGAGAGTGACATGCCTGCACTGGCCTTTGGTGAGGCAGCTAGAGGCTGAATAATAATAATTATAATTATCATTAAGAACATTAGCATTATCTGAAAAAACTGCTGCTGCCATTCAGGGAGTGTTGACTCTGAGGCAAACCCATGGCCATGTGCTGGACATGGACAATCTTGGGTAACCCTCCTGCTCTGCTCTGTCCACCTTCTTCCTGCAAAGACCCTACTGGCTGTGAGGCAGGTGTAGGGTGGGGTGTTCTTGCTGAACCCCAACACCCCTGGGAATGCCCAGTCCTGCCAGGCGAGTCCACCCCTCTCCCACAGTGCCCGTCTGCCATCCTCTCACAGTTACTGTCTCTGTCTCTCCCTTTGTCCCTCGTCTGGCTCTATCCAGTGGACATATAAATATCCAAGCTCTACTTGTCCTAAAGCAAAAATTGCTTCCCTTGTCCCCAAGTCCCCATCCCCAGCCTATTTCCCATCCCCCCCCCCACCCCTCACAGCACACACCCACAGAGCCTCCCACCCTCTCCACCGGGCTACCTTACCTCCCATTCCCTCCTATCCCATCAGGACCCTGCCTGGCTTAGCCCCACATCCTGCTGGAGCAGACACAGTCTCTTCAGGTCCTGGGTGGACCTTTCTTCCGTCTCGTGCCCCTATTCCTTGTCTCCAGGGCACCCCAAGCCCACTCTTGGCCTTCCCTCCCATCTTGACCATGAGGCAAGACCCAGCTCCTGAATGTGGCTCCTCAGCCCTTTCCAGCCCCTTGGTATCCTTTGCTGATCTGTTGCCCCTTGGTATCCTTTGCTGATCTGTTGCCCCTTGGGGTCCTTTGCTGATCTGCTGCCTCTACTGCCCTAGACATGGACATTCCTCGGGGCTCAACCAGGGTGCCCTCTGTACCACTTTCTTCCTCGGAGCTTACCTCTTGGTCAACTCTGGTCCTTCTGAGTGCCAGGAAGCCCCATCAGGTCACACCTCAAACTCACTATCCCAAACCAGGCTTGGACACCATCCCTAGCCCCATTCCCCACCTCTGCTGAGTTTCCACTGTCATCCTAGGTTAGAATGCTCACAACCAGAGCAGGCTGCTCTCTACAGACCCTTGGCCCCTGCACTGCCAACACCCTCCCCAGCCTCTCCCAGGCTCTTCTGCTTCTGAGGCATCTGCACTCGGGTCCCCAACACAACTTCAGGAAGATTAGCACCACCACTGTCTCTGCCTCATCCTCTGCAGAGCTTCCCTGCTCTGCCTAAGGGAATCCAAATGCCTTTACCTGGCTTTGGGCCCTTCCATTTGCCATCAGGACCCAACTGCCTGACCCTCCTGCAGCCCTACCTCCAAGTGTCCCTTTCAGGACAGGATTTGTATTTGACTGGTCATTGCATTTCCTCAATTTCTAGCTTTAGTTCCAATTAAACTTAGTTTCAAACCCTGCCTCCACTACCAGCTATGACCTATGGGTAGCTTACCTGGTCTCTCTGTGGGCCTTGGTTTCCTCACCTGTAAAGTGGGGACAATGCTAATTCCATATTAGTGTTATGAGACTTACATAATACTGGTAAAGCACTAGCGTGGTAACTAAAATGTAGTAAATAATTATTAACTACTACTGGTTTTTGATGATTGACCAATATGGCATAATCAGTTTAGGAGTTGAGAAAGCCTAAGAGGGAAGACCCATCATAATCCTCTGGACTTGAATTATGTCCCTCATAATGCTTATGTCATGGATGCAGAAAGGCCCCTCAGACTTAGATGTGAATATTGGGGTCATCAATTGCATATATTGAGCCCCTGCTACATACAGCGTGATGCACATATAACTCATTTCCATTCTTAAGAACCTCACCTTTTCAAAGAGCAGCAGGGAAAATCTGAAATGGCAGGGGATAAGTTGAAAAAGCATGCATAAAAGAATGACACGAAGACATGTGATTTGGACAAACACCAGCAAAGGCCTACTGTGTGCACAGCCCTTGCTGGACGCAAGCGAGATGACTGTAGCACTTGTAGGTGCTTGTTGAATACCTGAGGTTTGATGAGTCCATGTAAAGGGCCAGCTGGGAGTTTCCTGAAAGAGGAAGTTTTGAGGCAGCAGGTTGTAGATCAAGGAATCCCCGAGCTTCCTGAACATAAAGGGCACTTACTAAATATGTGTTTCTGGGGTCTAACCCCAGACCCTCTGAATCAGAATCTCTGAGGCAGGGGCCTAGGAAGGTTTATATGCAATGGAGACACTCGCCCCCAACCCCTTCTCACCACAAGAATTTGGCAAACCTTGCCGGCAAAGATAAAGACCAGCATTGGCCTTAGCCAGACCTAGGATCTGTCCCGCAGGGTCTTCCTGTATAGATATGACATTGCTCCTTTCCAGAATCTCACAGATGTCCTGTTTGTGGCTTTTTCCACCCTAGGAAGAGAGATCTGCTACAAACCTCTTGGCTGCTTTTCTGATGAAAAACCATGGGCGGAAATCATTCAGCGACCTTTAAAGTTATTTCCCTGGGACCCCAAGGACATTGACACCCGTTTTCTTCTGTACACAAATGAAAATCCCAACAACTTCCAAGTAAGAGTGGGAATGTAATGACTGCCTGGTGGGTGTAGCTGGGCCCCTACTCCAGAGTCTTCACATGGCTGTCTAGGAGAGAAGTCACTTTCTTGGAAATTTCTAGGTGATGCTCTCTCACCAATGTTAGACCTACAGTTGTCTCAGCTTTGGGGATCATAAACTCTTGATTGTCTGATGAAATCTATGAATGTCTAACCCAGAAGTGTGTATACTCACACACACTGGCGCACAGAACTTCAGGGATTGCCCAGGATCAGCTCTTTGTTCCCAGAAAAAGGAGAGTGTGCACTACAGCCTTAATGCAGAAACCCAGAAAAGCCTGTCTCCTTTCTACACCCAGCAGTGGAGGCAGAAGAGTCCCTCAAGGGTTGGGTGAGGGGGTGTAAATCCTTTTTGAGGAACTAGAAGACAAGAAGGGGAGAGAGGACACTTAACTATAAAAGAAGATGAGGCCCCTTGGAGCACCCTTCCCAGAGATCTGCCAGTTGGAAGCAGACAGGCTTGCTCCAGGAAGTCGGAAGTAACCAGGAGACACTTGCAAGGAAGATTTTGCTAAGAATTCAAACAGTTCGTAGCTCTGGTCCCTAACAGTTTAGAGAACCAGGTGTCTGTTGAATCTGCTTAGAAATAGTTACTGTGCTATTTTTATTTTGTGATCTGGCATCTCATTTCCATGGGGGTTGGTTGAAGGGGGCTGAGCAGGCCCATGGGTGTTTAGGAATTTGTTCTAAAGTCCAACAGCTCCACTGAGCTGAATCTGCCCTCAGGCCTCATGCTCAGGCCCAGAGATTCTTCACCTTTTCTGTACAGAGGCCTCTCTGGCCACCTGGGGAAGCCTAGAGGCTCTTCTAAAGACAATTTTTTTTAAATACATAAAATAAAATATGTTGTATTATAAAAGAAACCAGTTACATCAAAAACCGTTATCAAAAATTTAAAAATATAAAATGTGATATAGTAATATATTATTGCTGTACTATCTCACTAACAAGATCTAGGAGTTGGTCTAATAACAACTGTAATTTAAAATAGTGAATATAAATTATATTTTGAGGGCTCGGCGCCTGTGGCTCAAGTGGCTAGGGTGCCAGCCACATACACCTAAGGTGGCAAGTTCGAATCCAGCCCGGGCCCACCAAACAACAATGACGGCTGCAACCAAAAAATAGCCAGGCGTTGTGGCAGGCGCCTGTGGTCCCAG